GGCTAAGTGATTGAGTTATCCCAAGGAGGAAGTGCTGAAGGCATAATAGGGCTACGGAGATCATCGAGCTCAAGAGACACAACATCATCAGGGGTACGGCCCAGAAGATCTGACGACCTGACGAAGGTGGAGCCCCACGGACTACTGCCAGGCGGTCTCCCTGCTGCAACTGAACCCTGGGTGGTTGGCCCCCTGACTGGTATAACATTCAAAGTCATGGCAGGCGAGACTGGGGGAAGCTGCTCAGAGGATAGACGGCAGCCCACAGGCCTGCAGGAGACTGTAGGATCCCCTCTACCGGCCGCCCGAACCGAGGCTGCACGAGACGGGATGTTCGAGGCCCAGTGGGTACACTGCCCTTCCCAACAAAGGCTAAGGGCAGCTTACAACGAAGGTTGAATAACTTATACAACCGCAATGTGACACAACAACAGAATAACTTAAAACAGAGCTAGAAGATCCCTGTAAAAGAGACCCCCTTCACAACCTCTCAGCTTAGCTTTGTTGCTGACACTAGTCCTTCCAGCTGCCTGCATGACACAGGCTTGTTCAGAAAGTGGGTTTGCTGTAAGAATTGAGAAAGGCAAGAAATGTGGCTCTGCTCTTCTACCAAAGCCCCTGACCACTTTGGCATCCTTCCTGTTCCCTCCCTTTGTACACCAGCCCATGCAATACATATCAGATACTAAAGTCTTCCCAGGGGAAGTGCTTGACCTTTATTAAAAGCCCCTGCTGCTTTTAAAATTAAAAGCCATTGTAAGTAGGGGTGCACCAATACAGATTTTTGGGGCTGATAGCAATAGCTGATTTTTAAGGAGGCATATCAGCTGATACCAATCCGATTTCTGATATCAGCCCAGCAGTGTGAAGAGCTGCGTGCAGCTGCTAAGTCTGGTGTAGTGGAAACAGAGGGGGGACAGAAGGAGCACAGGGGGGCAGATCAAGGCCCCCACAGTGAGGGAGGAGTGGGGCTGGGGCAGGGACTAGGGCAAGCACGGGACAGAGCTGTGACTCAGCCGGAGGGGGCAGCCCCCATTGATATGCGCTGCTCATCCGGGAGCCCAGGGCTCGGTCCTCGGGCCCATACTGTTCAATATCTTCATCGGCGATTTGGACGAGGGGGTGAAAAGCACCTTGTTCAAGTTCACAGATGACACTAAGGTGTGGAGAGAAGTGAGCACGCTAGAGGAGAGGGACAGGCTACAACTAGATCTCGACAGGTTACAGGGGTGGGCGGATGAGAACAGGATGGGTTTCAATACAGACAAGTGCAAAGTGTTCCACCTGGGGAGGAAGAACCGGCAGCATCCCTACAGGCTGGGGAACTCCCTTCTTGTCAGCACAGAGGCAAAGAAGGATCTTGGAATCACTACTGATTCCAAGATGAATATGGGCTGCCAATGTGGGGATGCGGTCAGGAAGGCTAACCGCACCTTGTCATGCATCCATAGATGCATCACAAGCAGGTCCAAGCAGGTGATCCTCCCCTCTATGCGACATTGGTCAGGCCACAGTTGGAGTACTGCATCCACTTCTGGCCACCGCACTTCAGGAGGGATGTGGACAGCATCTAGAGGGTCCAGAAGAGGGCCACTCACATGATTAGGGGGCAGCAAAGCAGGCCCTTTGAGGAGAGGCTATGGGACCTGAACCTGTTCAGCCTCCACAAGAGAGGGGATCTGGTGGCCACCTATAAACTTGCCAAGGGGGACCAGCAGGCAATGGGAGAGTCCCTGTTTCCCTGAGCACTACCGAGAGTAACAAGGAACAATGACCATAAATTGACTGAGAGTAGATTCAGGCTAGATATCAAGAGGCACTACTTCACTGTCAGGGCAGCTAGGAGCCAGAACCAACTTCCAAGGGAAGTGGTGCTTGCCTCTACCTTGGGTCTTCAAAAGGAAGCTAGATAATCATCTATCCAGGGTCATTTGACCCCAGCATCCTTTCCTGCCCATGGCAGGGGGTCAGACTAGATGATCTGCTTCCGACCCTACCAACTATGAAACTATGGTCTGGTGGCTCATCCAGCCCTTGCCCATTTGTCCAATGGCTACCGTCACTGCTCCCATTACTTGTCCGGGAGGGCATGGGGGGGCGAGGCATGTGCCCCAGATCTGTACGGGGCAGGGCAGGCTCTTTCCAGTGGGATAGGGTTGCACTCAGGTTGGGTGGCAGCAGCACTGGAAGGGGGCTAAGGAGGGGCTGCAGCCACCCCAAAACTTGCTGTAGCCCCCCAACCTCTCTCCCAGCACTGCCACTGCCCACAGTCCCACCCTGCTGAGAAAAGCTTGGCACAGCCCCTAGCCCCAGCCTGCCCCACACAGAACTGGGAGCACCCCTCCCCCCACAAGTGTCTTCCTGGATGAGTGCTGGACCAGCCGTCAAACCAGCAGCTCCTAGACAAGTGTCACGCAGCGGTGGGAGCCGTTCCCCACCTTGCACGAGCCGCGACTCCATCCTGTACCTGGTCCACCCTGGCTGGGCAGCACTTGCCCCAGCCCCAGCTGCAGTCCCACTCCTCCCTCACTGCAGGTGCCTTGATCTGCCCCCCATGCCCTTTCCCTTCCCTTTCCTCCATCCCCACCACAAGAAACCTATGAGCTGCCCGCAGCTCTCCTTGCAACCTAGATGCTGTGCTGCAGCTGCGTGCATGCACAGGCCATTTATTGGCCAAGTTATTGGCCATATCAGCCTGATTTCCAATAAAGACAATTTTATTTCAGTGCACTTCAAATTTAAGGCTATGTATTTTCCATCATGGCTCCTGAGAAGCATTCCCGTTTGCACTGCCCAGCATAACTTTTGCTCCTAAGCAGCTTCAGGTCCAGTGGGGCAGCTGGCTGTGCTGCACATAACCCACCTTTCAGGTTGTGCTTGGTGTATTTCAAAAGTGTTCAGGGAAGCAGCTAATGTAGGTGGGGAGAAACCTAGGCCAACGTGCTGCTGCTTGTGCAGCTGTGCATCAGGCCAGATCCAGCCCACAGAGCTATGGCCTCAGGGATCCCCACGTATCCTACAGGTTGGCAGTGAGGAGCAGTAGCAGCCTTAACCACCAGACTTGCAGGCAGGTGGGAAGCCCCATGGGCAGGACAACGTGGCCCTGTGTGGGGGCATTAAGCACACAGAGGTGACGCACAGCCTTGCCCTGTCGTGTATGTGAAATGTTCGTATTGGAAGCTCCAATTATTGTATTTTCCCAAAGGCTGTCATACACTAAAAAATAAAAAACAAGCATGCAAACAAGTTTTCTTCTGATTTACTCTATAGTGCTCACTGCAACTCGTCCTTGCACGAGTGACAGCTCTGCCCAAGCTAAAGCCCTTTACTTGGAGGCAGGCAGTCATGAGAGCACTGGTGGCGGACAGGGAGCTCGGTTCAGACTCCCCGAGAGGGACTCGGGTTTGTCAGTGAACGCCCTCAGAAGTTACTGTGCACTTTGAACTTTTCTAGTATTGTCCACCGTACACGGGTTGCAATTACCGTACAAACGCAGCAATTGTTGTACACGCGGCTTCTGATCCCAGCAGTGCGGGCCCTGCCAGTGCCCAGGTGCTCGGCTTTGCGCCCGCGCCGCCACTTACCCGACCCCTCCCGGCGGCTCCACGCGCTCCTCTCCCCCGCCCTGCGAGCGTGCCTGATTGGCTGTCAGCGCTGTCCAATCAGACACGATCGCAGCGCCGTGTCTGATTGGCCGGCGCTGACGGCCAATCAACGGCCTCTCCTTTCAACCCTCCTCTCGCCCTGAAGCCCATAAGCCCCGCCCCCCCGCCTAGCCTGACGCGCCTGTCAATCACAAGCCAGCCCGTTGCTGCTCTGGCTGACTGACTAGGCGGGCGGGAACGATGGCTGCCGACGACGCGGAGCGGCTGAGCGGCGCCCAGCTCATCGCAGAAGCCTTAAAGGCGCAAGTAAGAGCGCAGTGACCCTTGACCCCAAGAACAGCCGGAAGTGATCTCCCCTACGGGGCGCGAGCGGGGCCATATCGCCGACTCTGTCCTGTGGCGGCAGGTTCGAGACCGGAAACTGCCAAATGTTTGGAGCTGGTCCCCGAGGGCCTTCTGCACCCCTGTGCTCGGCTGCTGCTCCTCTCCCAGCACGGTGGAGCACGGAGAGGAGGCGACCCTAGTGCAGGGGGCGTGCCCGCCCCCTGGGGATGGGGGTGCAGACCCTGGGTGTCCCTGGGGCTATCCTGGCTGGACTCAACACACCTTTGGGAAATGCGGGCCCTGGGCTTGGCTGCTCCTGCTCTCCTGGCTGCAGAACAGCTGGAGCTGGTGCCAGTCCACTGATGCCAAGAGGTCGGGGCGGGGAGGAGATGAAGAAAGATAGCAGCTTTGCGTAGGCAGGGGCGCAGCGAACTGACACCAACTGCAGGAAAGGGGAGTGGATGCCCAGGTTTCCTGCGGACATTTATTTGAGTTGCGGTAACACTCTTGAGAGAAGGGTGCTACCTGTTTGGGCCCATCTTCGAGGCAGTGGGACACCACTGCAAATGGCGTCTGCTATTCGATAAGTTGAGTTTGTTAAGAAAGTTGAAAGATAAAGACCGCAGCAGGAGCAAATGGGTTCCTGTAGTGGCTCAGTCGCTCATGTAGATAGATGCAAGAAGTGCCATTTACTGGACCTGACCATCTGTGCATCTAACCCAGTCTCCTGTGTCATGAATTGGCAGAGTGGATGCTGCAAGGGAGGGTGAATAGGGTCTGGACAAAGGTTTTTTGCAACTGTTCTTCTGGCACTTGCAACCTCCAGTATGTAAAGTCTAGGATGTTCTGATTCAGGGCCTGTATCCCCAGCTCTTGTGCTCAATAGCTACCGATGCCCCTTGTCTCCAAGAATTTGGCCAGTCCCTTTTCAGTCTGGCTGAACTGTCAGCTTCCACAATACCTGGTGACAAGGAACCCCACACTCAGTGACACACAGTGTGAAAAAAGAGCTTCCTTTTGTTTGTTTTAAACTTACTGCCTTACCAGTTTCATTTTGTGACCCCTAGTTTTTGTATTGAGAGAGAGAGTAAATCATAATCAATCCCTATTTACTTTCTTTCCCTAGCTGTCAGTGCCCCTCTAAATCACCACCATCTTTCACCTTAAGCACACACCCACTAGTATTTTATCAAAGCTGCCAAATTGCACATCCCATGATCTGGAATGGCTTCAAGTGGGCTTCATTTAAAGGCAATCTCTATAGCTATTTGTGCTCTGGTAGTGAAAAACTAACTTACAAATCACAAGCAGTCACAGAGGAGGAATTTTGTCCTCGTTTGTTATCAATTCATGCCTCAGTAAAGTATCAAGCTGACTGCAAACTTAAAACCAAACAGCTAATGAAAAGAATCATGTAAGGCCAAGTCTAGGTATGTTCAGGAGCAGCTGAACATTGTGAAGACAAATGAGAGTGAAGACATCCAAGATGGACAGTAAGGTGAAGAGGCAATACACAAACAGACTGAGGAGCTGGGGCAGGCCTAGTTATCTAGTGGATGCCCATCAGAGTTTGGGGCCAGTTGGGAGACTGCTGCAAAGTATGCCAGCAGGTATGTCCACATATACCATTTGGCTGCAGGCTATCAGGCGGGCTCCTGCTTTTCTAGGCTTTATTGAAGCAAACCCAGTGGTGTAATTCTTTGCACCTGGGCGTGCAGTGGGATCTGGCAGCTGGGGAGGTAAGGACCAAGGCAATAGGGACAGACAAAACAGTGGAGACTGACCGGGGCTGTGTCAGTTCTCAGTTGCCTTCCTGCCGCCGATTGCCATATCCACCAGGATCTGAGAGCCCTAGATTCTGCAGCTGGCTGCTTCTCCCCAGCCTTGCCCCCCAACTTCTGTGGCTTGCTGGTAGCCTGGTGGGTCAGATACAGCAGCTCTGCAAGCCAGCTCTGGCCTGGGGGCCACATGTTTGACACCCCTGCCTTATACAGTATAGTATATATACATTTAAAACACAATATAGTGCAAGGCAGTGCTTCTCTGGGACATTGTACACAATAACTCTTAAACCAGAAGCAGCATGGACTACTTTAGTACATGTCCCCTGTGTGGAGTTCTGAGGGGTAGGGAGAGCGGGAAGAGAGGGAGGGTGTGTGCACACACAGAGCTGCAGTAATACAGCTAAACTGTGTGTTTCAAGAACAAGCACCTGTAATATAGGTTCAGCATGTGTCAGCAATGAAATCTGGCCTGTGAAGCCTTGGCATCTGGCCTGTGAGGATTTCTACCAGTCAGAAAATGTGGCAGTGGGGGAGCAGTGGAAATTCCTCATTGCCTCACTGGGGCTGTTCCACTTCATTCCTAATCCCTGTACTCCCCCCACCCTGGGAGGATGAATCGGAGTCAAGCTGTGCGCCCCTCCCATGTGGCTGGAATGAGCCCACTAGCCGGATCCACCCCAGGGAAGGACCCGGCACTGCCCATCTGGCCTGCGGGACCAAAGGGCTGGGCACCACTTTAATAGAATTATTACGATTTAATAGAATTTAGAGTAAGGGCTACTGCACAGAAGCCACTTTTGAAATCTGATTAGCAAAGATCAATTGCAACAAGAATTCTGGGTGTTTCTTGTTTTCTTTAATTTTTAACAATTCTGTTTTTCAGAACATTGAGTATATGTTTGGTATTGTTGGTATTCCTGTCACTGAAATCGCAATTGCAGCTCAGGCAACTGGAATAAAATATGTGGGAATGAGAAATGAACAAGCTGTAAGTAACTTTCTTGTTGGATTAGTCATCCTTTCGTATTAACCATTTGTTTTACAGCACAATCTCAACTTTCAAAATGTGTATGATGGGCACTTGGAACACTAGGGAGAAAAATATTTTTTTCCACAATTTGTACATATTTCTCCACTGGGTGGTTTATTAATTCATGTATCCTAAATTTTGCTTTTCTTAATTTCATTCTGTAGGACTTTCTTATACTGTTTGTTGCACTAAATTAAGGGTGTCAGAATCATCCAGCCCAGTAGCACGGGGCTGGTCCACAGGCCAGATCCAGCCCATGGACCTCTCCTCTTCTCTTCTCATCCCCAGCATACCAGATCCAGCAGTCACTCCAACTAGTTTGGGACCTGTACCACATACAGTATCTCTTCTGGCTGTTTTGGGATCCATGTTGCATGTGGCTCAGTCAGGCCACAACACAGTGGTCACCTCAGCAAGATAGCACACAGCTGCTGCTCCAACAGCTCTGGGACTGCACCGCAAACAACTTCTGCTTCAGCTAGTCCAGGACCTGCACTGCACTAGGCATCTATGAGCATTATGTACAGTGAAGGTCCCAGGCTCATTGGAGCCAGTGCCATATGCAACGTGTGTCCCAGAGCAGGAATCATGAGCGGTGCAGTCCAGCAGAGTCAGTCACTGTGTGTAGCTTAGCTCCCGTTCCAGCCATACTGTGCTGCACATAGCCCTGGGTCCTCACTGCACATGTGTCTCAGATCAGCTGGAGTGACCATCAGACCAGGCATGCTGGGAAGCAGGAGTGGGAGGGGCCTGTGGGTTGGTTTTGCCTATCAGACCAGCCCTGTGCCCAGTAGCTGGGTGACCCAGATCATCTCCACCCTGCAGTTACCAGGGTTCTTCCTAGTATGTGCCATGGGAGTGAGGGGAAGGGGAAGGCTTCCAGACATCTAGCTTTACTGTAGTGAACGTGGTAACCCAAACATAGCCCTGTGTGTAAATGCATTCAACTTCACTGATTTTAGTAGTTGCACCAGGGTTTAATTCAGATTGATGGTTTCTAAGAGACTATAATTAGAGTAATACCAATGTAACATTAACCTCTGTGAAAATGCAATCAGTGATTTATTCTCCTAAACCTTTCTTTCTTCTGAGCAGTATCAACCCTATGAGGGTCTGAACCAAACTTAAAAACTGCATTTTAAGATGAATATATAATATAAATGTAGTCACTTAATTGGTGATTTATTTTATTTCATTTCTTAAGAAATGGAAAGTGCTCTGGCCTGTACTGACTTGTGTAATATTCACTGCTTGCAAAAGCAAAGCTTTAACAGTTTTAATGGTAACCAGTATATCTGAAGCAAAGTTCCTTGCACTACTTTCTTCTGCCAATCAGCTTAAAAGTGCAACATTGCCACAGCAGCATGGCACCCTGCTTTTCAGGAACAAATAACTTTGCAAATGGGACGCTCACTCCAAATATCATCTCTAGACATTTGCACATTGACACTTAAGTGCTTATTGCTGCTTTATTGTTTGTTATGTGGCCAGTTCATCTCCAGCTGTAAAAGTACTGGGATGTTCATTACCCTTCTCTTTTTGCAGTCTCCTCTAGTACCTACACTTACTTAAAATGTATAAATTTACATGCAGGTGAACTGTAGTCTCTAACCTCATGTCTCTGTTCTGAGCTCTTTAGTTATTCTTGGGGTTGGAAAAGACCCACAATAGTATGTAAAATGGTCAAAAGGAGCTTTGAATATGTACATACTCCTTTTACCATTTCATCCTGGAATGAAAGAAGAAAAGTCTGAGTTCACTTTTGAAGTTCTTATTGACTACACTCAATAGCCAAGTCCTAGAGAGCAAGCTGGATTGCATTCATACAGCATATCCAGCTACTCTTAATTATTTCTTGCCATTTTTGTATGGTTCTGTATGCCCAAATTTCACAGGAAATGATGCTATGTGGACTGTTGCCAGCTTCGTAATAAGAGTGCCTTAAAGTCCAGAGATTTTTTTAAAATCACATGCTGTGGTAAAATACAAAGAAACAAACCATATTTGCTTTCTGATTTCTGAGTCGTTGGCCATTTTGTCCACATCATACAATCATGAGGGCTAGGCATTTACTTTTAAAAAGAAATGAAATCTGACATTTCTTTGTAATCACAAAACTCCTGAAGCTGGGGCTTTAAGAAGAATATTCAAAATCCCAAGACTTTCTGTCAGACTGTGAAAGTTGAAACATTATCTACACACAAACTTTATGAAGCGTTAGGTATATTGACCAATGACATGTAGCTAATGTTTCAGAGATTCCATTTCTTGATTATGTTTTCTTTTTTCATTTAATCTTTGCCCATGTGTGATAAAAAATAACTACAATCATAGTATTAAACCTCACTGTGTATAAATAGTATTCAAAATCCATTTTAACGTTCAGTTGCTATGTGCAAATATGAACCTTTGGGCATTACTTATTTTTTGAAAATTTCAATAAAATATTTTTTAAGCAAAAAAGTGCCACACCTAATGGTGGCTTCAATAGCCTGTTAATTGCATCTTAAATGTAATGTACATCAGGGGCCACAGAAGTCCTGCCAACTTGGATACCTATCTGACTCAGAGAGTTACATTTGAAAATTATGCTTAATTAGGTTTAAGTTGGATATTAGTAAGCTGTATTACACAATGCCAGGTTGCCAGGTTCCCTGTGTACAGAGAACTATAAAACTCCATGTGCTGCCCAGTTGAGGAGCGCACAGGTTTTTACTCATCCCCAGAGCTCAGGGGTCCCTATGAGCAGGCTGCCACAGCCCAATCCCAGGGTCCTGTTGCCCCCCAGCTGGGGCTTTGACAGTCACCAGATTGTCAGCTGGGGGCAGGGACCAGTTTGGTTTTCTGCCCCAATTGACAAGCTGAGTATTGGCACATGGGTTTCATCTTGCTGATGCAGGGGTAGCCCAGGCTCATAAATTCAGGGTCATCAGCAAGTAAGACGTGATTGGGATCTGCTTACCAATCCCAAAATGAACATCCTGCTACACACATGTTAGGATCACAAGTAAGATCTCATCACATCTTAAAGTGAATGTCTGCCAGGGACTTGTTTGTTGTCTTTTCTCTTTATACCTTTCTTCAAATACCTTAATCTGAAAGCCAGTAAAAGGCAGATCAGATGCTCATATTCAGCTGCCCAGTCCTTCACATTAATTTTAACAACTGAATCGTTTTCAACTTCTTAGTTTAAAAGCTGTTTTACTTTGGTGCTGTGGGCTGGAAAAGGGGGGGAAATCTGGTCAATGTTCTACATTTTGCCACCTGTGTATGTATATTTGTAAGGGATGATGGTGGATGCCATTTTTTAGTTTACAGTCTGTTCAGCTAAACAAACCTCTATGTGTTTACATTAAATCTAATTGTTAAAAGTTAATGTATACATGTATGGGGAAAGGCTGAAATTCATGTAAAAATATAAACAGTCTTGTATTATCTTCAATAGGCCTGTTATGCTGCCTCTGCTGTTGGGTACCTGACAGGGAGGTAAGCTGCTGATTTATATGTATACTCATTGGTTGTTTGAGCAAAGAACATTGCCGTTTCTGTTTCTTTTTTTTTAAAGATGGGTAGTTGCTTGAGGGAGTTAACGTGGAATATTAGCTTAGAAGGGTTTAATTTCATTTCTGTTAACAGTGTTTCTGTTACTATGCAGAAAGCAAAGTAGATATGCACTTTATAGTCTACCTAAATTGTTTATAAAGTGCATATCTACCCTGCATTTTGCCTGACTTCAAACTAACATAGCTAACTACCTTTCTTTTTTGTTGTGCCTCATGGTAAAGGAGTAATGTGGGGCCCAAGTTAAGTAGTTAAATCTCACTTGGAGAAAAAGTCTTGCCAATCTTCTTGCCTTTTAAGCTCAAACTCCTAGTGTAACCCCATGAGCCCAGTATCTTCATGTAAATGTTCTGAATGAAACTAACACCATTTTTTGTAATTTAGGAAACCTGCTACATATTTCTGCATTTGGTGTAAGTTCTACGACATGAAATATTAACATTTTTTATTTTCTTCTCCAATAAATGTTAATAAAGGGGCTGATTTTTTTGTTATGATCTCTTAACAGGACTGTAAAGCTAGCAGAACTAATTACTAACAAATCCATATAAGGCAGTTTCCTTCATTGTGTAGGGTCTACTTAATAACTATGACACTTTCCTCACCACAGTTCCTGAGCTCTTGGATTGAGACAAGGGCCAAATTGCTGCTGCTTTCTAGGAATACTCTACTCTAAGAATGGTATCTTAGAGAATGTTATATCCGAGCATTAGCGATAACTCAAATTTAGGCTTGGAACAGGCTGAGAATAATGGACACACAAAAATGGTTTTATTTCCTTCCCCACCCCAACCCCTTGAACCCAACCCTTCACTGAGTAGGACCCAGGAAGTAAGGGAAAAAAAACAATTTGAACATTTTTTAAAATCTAAAATCTTAATAAATACATTAACCAGCTGGCAATAGGAGGAAAGAGAGACAGCCCAATGGAAACAGAAAGGTCATAAAGAACCTGCTGTTGTGCAATTAAATCAAACATGCAGAATAAAAAGACTAAGATTTTAGAACATGGCAAGAAATGAGAGATTTCAGGGAAATCAGCTGATCCACTACAGTAGTGGCCCTACTAAAAAGAGAATAGTGCTAAACAAACCTGTCAAACTGAGTCTTCAGAGGAGGTCATAAAGCTTTGATGCTGGCAATTACTTTAAGATTTTTATATAGCACTCAATCATCTGCCCCATAAGAGGCAGCTAACATGACCAGTCACCTCCATTAAAAGACAGTCAGTACAGAGAATGCTAGCTGAGCACAATATACTAAATCAAGCTAGTAAGCATATGCTGCTGTATTCTAGGTAAGTTGCCAGTGGTGGAGTAGGTTGTGTGCTGCTTGGTCCTAGGCCAACTACAGGTTCAGCCTGCAAACACAGTAGAGCTAAAGAAAACCACTTTTTAAGTCGTGTCAAACCTAGTCTTTATATGGAGAGAATGTTAAAATTGAAACTTAGATTCTTAATCTTTTGCTCTGCCTTCATAGTAATCTGTTCAATATAACACAATTTGACAATCTTTGCAGAAGTTTGATATTTTTGAACTTGAGCATTCTACTCTTTTTGTATTATATTTGTTGTGTTTACTTTCCTTTTGATCCGTTTTCCCTTTAGACCAGGAGTCTGCCTCGTGGTGTCTGGTCCAGGTCTCATACATGCCCTAGGTGGGATGGCAAATGCAAACATGAATTGCTGGTAATACACCCCAAATGTGTGCTTTTATCTGAGCCTAATTTGCACAAAATGAACTATTCCAACCAGGAGATTTTACAACATCTTCAGCTCTCCTGTGAAATATGAATGTTCATTTTCACCTAGGAGAAATTTTACAATCTTTGCATTCACCTATGCCTGAGGAAGGGTCAGTGTACCCAAAAACTTGCAAATATCTAGTTGGTCTAATAAAAGATATAATCTCTGCCATGAGCTCTAATTCCTGTTGCCAGTAGACTAATATGGTTACACCTTGTATACCCAAATGTAAGCAGCATTCAGAGGGGAGGGTTGGACTAGACTACCTCTTGAGATCTCTTCCAGCCCTACTTCTCTATGCTTCTATGACATTGGACAGCTTATAGTAGTATGACGTACAAAATGAGCGGGAAAAAAAACCCCCAGTTGTCCTTCTTCCGGTGGTGGAGACATTTAAAACTTTGGGGTATTAGCTATAAGAATCTACCCAGCTTGAATTCACATTCCATGCTCATGTTCTTTTGAAAATACACATGCACAGCAAAACTACAGCAATATTCCAGGCATCTGTGTGCATGAGAAATATTTTAATATCTCTTTGTTCCTGAGGTGCAATACAAAAGGTCTGATATAGAGAAAAGACTTCCCCAAATTTCTGATTCTAATGCCTGAGCCCTTAATGGTTTGCTGTTGAGCAAATCGATGGTAGTGTGTATCTCATCCTGTAAGATGCTGATCACCTTCTACTCCTGCTGAGGTTGGTGGAACCTGGAGGTGAACAACACGTCTATAAGAAACATACTAAGCAGAGTGCATGATAGGGTCTAAGGATATTACATAATGGCAGTAATAGGAATAATTATTTCATCATATGTTATTTATACTACATTATATTGTCTCAATACTATATAACAATATTATATTACATAGGCTATTAAGGGGGTGAGAGGCTGGTTGATCATAAATTGAATACAATATATTTTTTACTTGTTTCAGGCCTTTGCTTGTTATTGGGGGCTCCTCTGACAGGAATCAAGACACCATGGGAGCTTTCCAGGAATTCCCACAGGTACATAGCTATAATCTTCCTGTATAAAGTTTTCAGATGAGTACTTGGTGATGTATGTCAATTAAAATGAACTTCTGTCTTCACACTTTTATATTTCCTATTTAGTCTCCTAATGTATTAATTTGTTCTGTTTAACTACAGAAGCAGGCTGTTTAATATGTCAAATTAGTTTCTTTTCTGTGATAGACATTATGGTTCATGGTCTGGGGTAGGCTCTCAGCTAGTATAAATTGTGTTGGCTCCTTTTTTGGATTGCCCCTGGGCTCCTTTTTTGGATTGTCCCTGGGTCCAAGGAAAGCAGTAAGCTGCCAAATACCACACCCAGCAAAATAAAATAATAGGCAATCAAAGGAGCTGCTGGCGTGATGACCATTTACCATTTTTGTTTGGGGTCTGTTTGCATGTCATAAAAATACATTTTTTATTACATTTTTGCTTTCTGAAAGCCTTTTTATTCTATCACATAATGGAAAACACTCCCTTCCCCTTTCCTAACATAGATGGAAGTCAGCAGAACAAACCCCAAGCCTTTGTTGAAGTAGCATACAGGAGGCACAGCTGTGCCATTAAATTGAATTTTAGGCTTCCGTAGATAACCAACATTTTTGTTTTGCAGCCTCAAACATCTTTTTACAGATTGTTTTGCTATATGGTGTTCTAAATCTTGATGTTCTCTGGAACCTCCCTTTGTAAATTAAATGCAACTCCTTTTTAAGGGAAAGGAAAAAGTGTGATATGTGGTTTTGGTTATATTGTCTTTTATTTTTTCTTCTGCAGGTTGAAGCTTGTAGACTATACAGCAAATTTTCTGCCAGACCCAGCAGTCTAGAAACTATTCCTGCTATTATTGAAAAGGTATGAAATAGTATTAACTAGCAACACAGTGTTTGGACAGATGTTCTTTCATGCTGGAAGTCTGGGAAACAGTTTATATCAGGAATAGCCTGATCCTACAGAAACTACTGTGGAATTTTTGTTTGGTTAACTCCCTACAAAAACCTGGGAGATTTTTTTTCCCATAAATTAGTTCATGGAGAAATCTTGAAAACAGACAATAGTCCCAATCCAACTGAATAATACAGGAAACTCCACAACAGTCTTTCTGTTCAATTACAAATTGTATACATTCTTAAAATAAATTTTATCTAATATAAGTGCAAAAATTAGAAATGTAGTGTCATGCAGCTTCAGCATTAACTCCAAAGTATTGATAGATGTTTTTCACTGAGAAGGGGGATGAGGTTTTTCACTGACCGTCTTATCTTAACTCTCCAGGAACAGGTTTGAAAAGTCTTATGGCACGACTGCAGCAACATATCAGCCTAAATTCCTTCTCAAATAACACTTTTTCCTAGAAGTGCCAGGTCAGCAAAGGAGTACTTAGCTATAATAGAAGTCCTGGAGTGTAGAGTAAAGAAGATGTAGGCATTGGGGCTTTTATTTAGGTTCATGCTGCTTTAAATAGAAATTCAGCAGCCAATTGTGACTCTGAAACTAGATGTAAGAGTAGGTAGTGCAGCTCCCTCAATGTAAATAAATCCAAACATTTGCTATCCATTGAAACTCTTCAGATAAATTTAAAATTAGTTAAATTTAAATGGCTAAGGACCATAAGATGCTAGGTTTAAAACCACCAACTATAAATTTTCTAATAGATATTTGTCCCATAGAGGTAATAAAACAACATGTTTCCTTCATTACAATCTGATTTTTTTCAAGTATTAAGATTTTAGAAATTTATTTAGCACAGTTATATTAAGTGTTTCTCCCATTCTCTCAATAATTCTAGGCTGTTAGAACCAGTATTTATGGTCGACCAGGTGCGTGCTACATTGACATACCTGGAGACTTTGTAAATCTACAGATGAGTAAGAGCTCTGTCAAGTGAGTACAGGTTATTTGCATAGGTGATGTTCTTAGTTATAGTGGAGTTCTTTTATGCATTGTATTTTTATCTGTTCATTAGAAGACGCATCCAAAGGCTTGCACAACTTCCTGTAAGACTTCTTAGCATATTGCAGATATACCTTTCAATCTTGCAGGGAAGGCAAAACATATGGGTAAAGGCTGAAAGAACTAGGGTTATTTAGTCTGTAAAAGAAGACTTGAGGGGGGGAAATTTCATAACAGTCTTCAAATACCTGAAAGGTGATTACAGAGAGGATGGAGACAGGCTTTTCTCTGTGACTGTAGAGGACAGAGCTAGGAGGAATGACCTCAAGCATCAGCAGGGGAAATTTAGGTTGGAGATTAAGAGGAATGTTTTGACTGTGAGGGTAGTCAAGCATTGGAACAGGCTGCCTAGAGAAATTAGGGAGTCTCCCTCCTTGGAAGTTTTCAAGAGCAGGTTAGAGAGAAACTTGGCTGGGATGTTTTGGTCAGAGATGATCCTCCTTTGAGCACGAGATTAAACTAGATGACCTTGTGAGGTCCCTTGCAGCCCTGCTTTTCTGTGACCCTGTGATGTAGTTGGTAAAGGTGTAATTTTTCTAATGTGTCGTGCAGGTTTATATTTGTAAAAACATTTTTTTAAAGGATTGGAAGAAATCCAATGGACTATTATAATTACAATATTTTTATGCCAGCATATAAATACGTACTACATTCTCACAAGCAATATTCAGATTATATGGGAGAAATAGAAGTCAGTGACATGGTGGCATGGAAGATCTTCTGTGGGCATGCCACACAGATACCTGGATAAGGGTGATGGCCTTTGGTAGGAGGGCTCTGTTTCACGAAAATACTAATGTGGATCTATTATCCTGTCTGAATCCTGGAAAACATTTAAGCATACATTTAAGCCCAGTAGATTTAGGGTATTTGTAAGGTAGGAACAGTGTATAAAATAAGGCCTCCTGTGATAGAGCGTTCTAGGTTTTGCAGACTCGTATTTCTCTAGAACTTGTAATCAAAGGGACTGTAAGAAAGGGCATTATTGTGAACCAAAGGGACAATCACAGAAGCTTTGAACTTTTGGCAGATATTCCTAAGAAAATCAGTAAGGAAGTCTATCTTTGTTTTCTCCTTTTTTAAAGGCAGAGTGCTTGCAGCTAGAGTGGGAAATCTCTGCAGTATTTTTATTGTTACAGTGGAAAGAAGAGGTTTATACCACTTGGTGAAAATTGACTGCCAAAATATTAGTGAAAAGAAAGGAAAGCTTTAGAATGGGAGGCTTTGTAAATATAAAATACTAATTTAAGATCAACAGGTGTATCTTAATAGAGATCGGTTTACATTGTCAATTCACAATATAATAGTAAATATTAAGGTTAGGAATCTCATTTTTGCAGGATGTCTAAATAGTTACTTGCTACCTGGAATGGCTGATTTTCCCATACAAAATACAGTTTGAATATGTTGGGTGGTTTAAATTACATTGGTAAAAAAATGTTCTCTTCTGACAAATATCATGGTTTGGTATGGATTTTGTATCGCAAAATCTGGTTTCGTAGTAAATGACTAGAGTTGGTATTGCACAACTTGGTTTTATAGCAAATGACCTTTGGTAATGGCATGCTTTGCTTTGCATTTCCTTTGAAGACCCTGTTCTGTCTGACTTTCAGATATGTTGAATGCTGTTTGCCACCTCCTGTGAGCCTGGCTGAGCATTCTGCTGTGTCTGCAGCAGCATCTGTCATTTCACATTCCAGACAACCTCTATTAATCATTGGCAAAGGTAACATGCTTTGATAATGGCTATGAACTTTATAGCATGTAGTAAAGAACAGTGATTAGAATAGTTTTTTCATAATTTTAAGCATCTCTGTTTCTTCACCATTTGTAAAATATCTTCCTTGCAATCTGAAATTAAACTGTTGTTTCTTTCTAGAATATGTTTTCATCTATCTTGCACATACTTTTTGTTTGGAGTAAGAGAAAAGTCAGGTGAATAAATGTTAATTATATTAAGCATAAAACCTTTTCCAGTTTTTTTTCAAACTTAAATCCTGTTCTTCAGAATGTAAAATGACCCTTCTCTGGCATGAACTTGCCTAAGAGACTTGTCTCTACAGAAAGGGTTTTAACCTATAATCAAAGGTGATTTTTTTTTTTCATTTCTACTTTCTGAAGGTGGCAGACTACTATTAGTGGAACATGAAGCCCACTTCATGAATCATATAGCAGGCAGTGCTGTCATTGCATTACAAACTTTACTCTGAATTGTATTTCTGATCTAGAGGTGACCTCTCCAGAGATGAGAGAGTAGAGCAGGCGGCTTGCCCATTCTGTCATTTTGCTTCTGTTCTGAGGACAGGCAATTAATGATGATGATTTTTGTGTTGAAGATAAGTGTCTACTAGGAGCTGAATTGAAATCACATAGGCCCCTGGCAGACATCAGAATGTGTGTAATGTTTTTGCAGCTGGTTTATATTGTGCCTTAAATTGAATGTATGGCAGAATAGCTCTGTCATGCAGCCTGATTCTGGCAGAATTTGGTTGACAGTTCTCTTGTGTTGGCAGGCTGACAGTTATGTGGGGCAGCCTTGCATCCACTGTTAAAGTCAAGAGAAGCTTATCAGCTGGGCTGGGGGGCTGAGTCTCCACAACCTGCCATGGTGCTTACCTTGCCTTACAGTTCACAGGGGCCGAGAAACAAGGTCTCAGGGAGATGCAGACACTTGACACACCACAGCCATAGATACCCTGGGTTTGTGGAGGGGTTCCTTATGCTTCCGGACTTAAAAAACTGTGTGCACAGCCTGACTGCATGCTCAGATTTCTGACATCCCGAGTGTATTGGGGTTCTGGGTTTTGAGAGAGCTCCCCTAGGGAAGGATTCCAGGAGACCCTGAGAGTAAAGAAAGTTTTAGTCTGTTTACTTTTTTAGAAAGAAGATGAATAAGCTTATATAAAATGAAATAATAATGATTAGGAAGATGAGGAATTTTCCCTCCCCCTGTCTTGTTACACAAGAATAGGGGCATACTCAGTGAAACGGAAAGATCCAGCCTAATAAAAAGGGGAGAAATCCTATCATGTGAGATTAGACTGTGGAACTCATTGCTACAAGATGATGATGATGCCAAGAATTTATCAGGACTAAAGACAATGTATGCATAAAAAAAATCTATCCAGAGTTGTTTCTTGCAGTTAATACTAGCAGAAGTTTTAGAAGGAATTATAAACCCTGTTTTTCAGGGTTTAAGCCAATGAGACCTCTATGAGGGACCAGATTTTCTATATCTGCTTATAATGGAAATATATAGGCAACCTTAATTCAACATTCTTTTGTGTGTTTGCTTTATAATGTGGTCCTTACTACAAAAGCACGTGCTATTTTTTTTCCAAGTGTTTACTTGGATGTCTTATAACTAGAATACTAGGTTTTTGGTCGTAGCCATGTTGATCTAAGGACATAGGCAGGCAAAGTTCTTTGAGTGGATGTGATATCTTTTATTAGACCAACTAATAAAAAGATGGTTTAATAAAAAATATTATAACTAGAATCAAATATAGGCAGATTTTCTCCCTGATATTTTAACCTTATTCTCAGAAATAGCTGAAACATTTTGGCTGAAATTTTTCGTATATGGTTAGTCAAAGGTGTGGAAGGTCTCAACCCAATTAGTCAGTCTGACAGATTTATAAGACCCTGCTTTCAGTTGAGGGAATTATTAGCCAGTCTTAATGAGAGTTGATTCTATAAGCTCCATCAGTAATGTGATCGTTTTGTTTAGGTGAAGAGGTACAACATGTTCATACATGTGTCGCATTTTTTATCTTCTTCTAGGTCCCAGTTCTGCAATGCATTTAAGCCTATATCTACTTTCAAGTGTGCACGTTTATAAGTCAGTAAAACTATTTGCATGCCTAAAGTTAAACAGGTACTGAAGTTCTCTGTTGCATCCATTAGGTATGGAAAGGTATATTTAAAGACCATATGAAATAGTCCCCTTGTATTTTGTTTGTTTCAGGTGCTGCTTATTCACATGCTGAAGACAGTATCAGAAGGTTGGTGGACCAGTGTGAATTACCATTTTTACCTACACCAATGGGAAAAGGAGTTGTTCCTGATAACCATCCCAACTGTGTAGCTGCAGCCAGATCCAGGTCCGTATAACGCAGGGGCAGGCAAAATATGGCCTACAGGTCAGATCCAGCCCACCAGGTCATTCTGTCCAGCCCGCAGAGCCCCTAACAAATTTAGTAAATTAATATTTATTTCTCCTGGCTCCCTGTCAAAGCTGGCTGGAGCCAGGGGCGGTAGGACCCAAAAGGAGCCTTCAGCAGGCTTGCAGGCTTGAGCAACCCAGCCCTGCCCACCCCCAGCCAGTTCCCTGATTTCCTGCCCCAACCCTGCTCCAGCACCACCTGGCTGTGGCTCCTGGCTGCATCCCCCAACCGCGGAGCATGAGACCGCGCTGGTAGGGATGTGTATGTGTGGGTGCACATGTCAGCAGACACAGGGGTAGTGTATGTGTGTGTCTGCAGGTATGGGGGCAGTGTGTGTGTGTGTGTGTGTGTGTGTGTGTGTGTGCGCGCGCGCGCGCACACGCGTGTGTGTATAGGGTGAGTCCCACACGCACACCCCTCCTTACACATGTACCTACGCCTCCCCTTGCACTGCCATATGCAAATTCCAGCCGCCCCCACAAACCTATACCCACCCCCCCACAATATACAAGAGTAAGACTTCATTTTAAGCTATTGTGCAGTCATCTCTGTGTATACTACACAAACACATGTAAATCAGAGCAAAAATATTTTTTGAAATCAAATTAATGAATGTTGTAGATGATCACGTTTTAGAATATAATTTGGTAATTTTCTGGTTCTGAGATGGCAAAATCCCTTGCTGAAAAGAGTATTTCCAGGGGCAACGGGAGGGACTTCTGGTGGCAAAGGTCAGGGGTTAGGGGGTGGGACTTCTGGTCACAAGATGGCGACCAGGGATCAGGGCACCTGTCAAGGGGTGGGGCTACCCATGTGGCCCTTGACAGCTTGCCAAAACTCAGTAAACCCTCCATCTGAAATAATTGCCCGCCCCTGGTATAAAGGAGGGCTTCTAATCCTGTCTTCTGAGAAACTTGGATGTACCAAAATGCTATGGTTCACAAAATGCTGTGAAAAACAGGTCTATATGCTTGGGTATATATGTACATGGGGGCTGAATTCATGGAAAACCTTAATACCTAAATTTGAGTACTCAAAATTCTTTGAATATATATTTTAATATCTAATTAAATTTGCTTTCACAAAATGTAACATAATTTTAGAAAGTGAACTTAGTGGGTTTTTTTAATCAATGTTTTTGCTTGTGTTAACTGGAGAAATGGTTGTCTCTATAAAAGATGGTTAGTTTGCTAAGTTAAACATAAAATGCAGATGTGTTGGTGTCCTCTCTTAAACAGCAGGTCTGCTTTTTTATTTGGAATTATCTCCCTTTTGGAAAAGCACATTTAAAAGGTAAATACGTTTCCCACTTAATATTATTCTCTCGTTTTCCATGTTTAGGGCATTGCTGCATGCTGATGTAATAGTATTACTTGGTGCCAGGTTGAACTGGATTTTGCACTTTGGACTTCCACCAAGATTTCGACCAGATGTAAAAGTTATTCAGGTAACTAGGAAAATAATTTGACAGAGGCTTTTGTAGTTTACCTCTCTCCTAAAGTAATTATTATGAATAACTGTAATGGCTTGCTCTCTCCTGGGATAACCATTGCTATATTGACAGTGCAGTACAGTACAGGTAGGCATTGTAGTTCTCCAAAAAAATAAATATGGTTTCTTTTAATTCTCCTGATTATTTAAAAACGGATGGAAAATTATTCCAAGAAAATGGCAAAGCTCATGTTTAGTTCCTAGTACAGAATTAGATCTATAATAGCCATGTACTGTGTTCAGGATTGATTGATCAAAAAAACAAAACATTGCAAAATATTGCGGAATGATTCATAAGACTAGATGACTTTCTAGGATTCCTCTACAACATTATCTTTGCATTCTGCATCAAAGTAAACAAAGTCTGACTGATCTCTATGGTTACTAAATCACTCGGAGGAGGGAAGGGTGTTTAACTAAGGAATGCATCTGATAAACTTCCTGTGTTAGGGAAGGGTAGGATATAAAAGCAAATTTACTCCCAGATTTAAAACCCTTTCTCACTGAGCCCATGTGTTCAAAGGTAAAAGTTTCTGTTCTTTGACTGGCCTACTTTAAGTAGCTTAAAGCATTATCTTGGCCTCTACACTTTACTTTTATCCTTGCCAGAAATATAGCACAAGTTTTGCCTTCGTGCATCCTATTGGTTCTTGAAATTAATACTTCCTTTCTACTTCATTGCTCTAAAGAGTATACTGGAAAGCCCAAATATTCATTTAATCTCACTTGAAGTCAGATTTTTCACCTCCTAGATAGTTATTAAAATAGGTAGTTAATTCATGGTTTCCCTTGGCAACCTGAACACAACTGAATATTTTATGTAACCTCCGAGGTATTTTTAGTTATTGACAAAGATAAGTTGGAAATGTCTTTGTGGTACACGATCTGTTTTCCAATTTCTTTACATGATTAACAAATTCTGATTCTCTAATAATATGCACAAATATTTTTCAGTAAGAGACTGTCTTGCATACTCTTTTCAGGGTATAGATTTAGGCTCTTAGCCCTCATCTGGTGTTCTCTGTAATAATAATAACAAAATTCTGTGCTATATATTGCAGGCAGTAAGTCTGTTTAAGGATGCAAATAAACCTGTTTTAAAAAAGAACTGTTCAATAGATCAGTGGTCCTCAGCCTTTTTAGATTCAAGGCAATAGTGTAACAAGCAGGCTTTGCTCCCTGGGTAAACTGTGTAGTGGAGGGGGTAAGGAGGTGTGCAGATTCTGAGAGTGGGGGGACAGCAATGCAGGAGTCTTACCCAAAACAGTCCCCAGCTGCTGCTGCAGCCACTGCTACCACATGTTGTGCCTGCCCTGGCTGTTGCTCATAAAGCACAAGCAACACGGTGTCTTTGCAATGGCTAATGGTGCAAGAGCAACACTGTGGGGCTGCTCTTGCTGCCAGGACACAGACTCTGGAAGGGTGAGGAATGATTTTATCATTCCACTCAAGTTGGCCTTGGGGCTGGTGCCCTTCTTACCCACCACTATCTATGCTACTGGATCAAGGGACCCCTCAACAATTTTTCTGTATTCTGTGGCACCACATTTAAAAAGTAATGTAAGTATATTATGAATATTATACTATAGACATAATTGCATTGTTAATTATCAATTAGTTATTAAGCTATTAGATGCTTATGTTATACTCGGCCCACTTGTCACTGCCACCATGGCCAGGGAGATCTGCACCATGTGCTTCCTGCAGAGCCAGATTGAGAAGGGGCTGTGGCAGGAGCGTGTGCTCTTGCCACAGACTTTTCTGATCCAATCCTGCAGGGTGTCTGCCAGAAATAGAGGTACACAGGGCAGATGGAACTGTCCTATGAACCTCTGCTTTCAGGGGGCACATTGGGAGATGAACAGAAAACAACTGCAGCAAAAAGGCAGGCTTCCTGCGTTACGTTATGTGGTCAAGTGAGCTATTTCTGTTGCAGCTGTTCCTGGTTCAACTCTGACATACTTCCTAGAAATGGAAGCATTCAAGGCAGTTCCACCTGGTGGCAGCAGTATGTGTCTCCAGGCTGCCACCACAGCAGGCTGAAATTGCCCCATGCATCTTTGTTTTCAGGAGGCACAGGATGCCCAACTGACAAGGAGCTGCAGCAGGGGAGGGTGCATCCCATTATGCAGGTGGGTGCATCATTTCTGCTTTGGCTCTTCTAAGTTCGGCACATGCCAAGAAACAAGGAGCAGCTAAAGCAGAAGCAGTGTGCCTGCCTTGATTATGTAATGTCTGTGCTACAGCCTCTTCTCAGTTGGGTCCCACGTGCTCCAGAAAACCAAGGCACCTGCTGCAATATCACCTGACGGCAGCACTATGGCACCCCGGTAGGTTCTTATGGCACCCTGGTTGAGAACTACTGCCCTTGAATTGAATGGAATCTATTTTCATTTGCCTAAAAACACCCTTTTTTTTTTTTAATAGGTTGATATTTGTGCGGAAGAGCTGGGGAATAATGTGAGACCTGTTGCCACTTTATTAGGTGACATAAATGCTGTGACCCAGCAGGTAATAAAGGAAAAGCATTTTTTTATATAGCATATTTATGCTGTGCATCCTATCAAATCCAACATTGAATTTAAACTATTATTAATGGTCAGTTCAAATTAATAACTAATTATAATGTATTCATGATTAATTGCTACTGATTATTTGTTAATATAATTAATCATGTTAAAATAATTTGATATTGCTTATTACTATTACTTAACTGTTGTACTGAGATCAAGGTCTGTGCCATTAGAATTGAAGAAACAATTCTAGTGCTTAAAGCATATTTAAATAGGGTGAAAGGAAACAGAGCAATGGTTTCTTATATTGTTTTAGCTTTTGGAAGAATTCAGCAGAAGTCTATGGAAATACCCTTCTGATACAGAGTGGTGGAAGAAGCTAAGAGAAACAATGAAGAACAATGAAGAAAAAGCCCAGGTAATACTATGGCTAAGTAGAAGTGGGTTTTGTTCTTTTTTTGAAGATAGTGTTTGGCTCATTCTTTCATTAGTATTGTAGCTAAAGCCATCCTGACTAATCTGAACCTTCAGTTCATCCGAATTAGATTCTTTCCAGCATTTGGGTGCTAGTGCCAGCCCCAGCTGGCAGCAGCAGGCTGCTGTCATCCTACACACAGATCCAGGGGCCTGCACCCCCCAGGAGGGCTGCAAGGCTGTGCCAGACTCCTCCCAGGGCGCGCAGGCCCCCGGATCTGTGCGCGGGATGACAGCAAGCTGCCGTCCCTCCCCCAGAGTACTGGGATTGGAAGGGACATCAGGGACGGATCGCAGACACTGGCCAGCTACAGATGTCAAGATCAGAGCAGTTCTCTTCCCCCCTCCCCCCCTCCCCCTTCCCTTTTCTGAGTTTTTCTGTTTCCCCGCAAGCCCGCCTCCAAAACATTCCAAAATATCCAAAACATTTCCGAAACTTTTCGGATTGTTTTGTTTCGTATCGGAGATGTTTCAGAGCCTTCTGTTTCATTTTGGATTTGGTGTTTTGGGTGCTGACATGGGCTGAAACACCTCCAAAACAAAACGGCTGCCGAAATTTTGCACAGCCCTAATGATTAGCAGTAGTCAAGTCTGAATGAATTTACGTGCCTTACAGGTTGAACCAAATACATTGATTGTTACTTAAGTCTTTTCATGGATAGACCACTAGAGGGAGCGGGCTGCACACTCAGGGTGTATCTTGTGCTGAAAATGTCCTGTCTTCACAGTTACCAAAGCACTGTCAGGAAATGTTGCTCTACTGATCTCACCCATTTTGTAGTACGCTAGGGAGACAAACAGTTTAATGCCCAGTCTAATGCTTCAAGCCTTACTCAGCAGAGCAGACACTGATTTCACAGCCTAATTCTGCAATCTTTATGCTAAGTATTACACATAGAAATTCATTAATAATCTCTTTTTTTTAAAGGCACTTGCATTACAAAAGTCTCTGCCTATGAATTATTATACTGTATTCCATCATGTCAAAAAACTGCTACCCAAGGACTGCTTTCTAGTAAGCGAGGGAGCAAATACTATGGATATTGGACGTACTATGCTTCCAAACAATTATCCTCGTCACAGGTGAAGTATTTTCCTTGTTGCCCTGACCCAACAACATGCATACTGTTTCCTACATAGTTGGGAGATGCACTCGGAAGTCGAGCACTTTGCAGTATCCCCATTATAATATTGGGAACAACATCTTTGGAAATCAGGCTACTTCTAAGTACCTACCTATGAATTGAAGTTCATAAATTTAGTGTCCCAAATTTGGGAGTGTTTTCTGGTATGGTAGTAAAGTAGAATGACTATAAATTGGAGGTAGTCTGTATCAGAGAAAATAAAGTCAGTCCTCTTTGCTGAGGTGAAACTTCAACCTGATTGTGGAGAATGCTGTCTGATGTTCATTTAGAGGTACCATCCCTTATCCCAACAATTGAGCCTCCTGCCATGGCACACATGCATGGCAGGATGCATGTACTGGAGAGAGTCTCTATTAGAGATAGTTCAGCAGAGGGCAACAAAAATGGTGAGGGGGGTTGGAGGATATGACTTGAGAGGCTGAGGGAACTGGGCTTATTTAGTCTGCAAAAGAGAAGTCTGAAGGGGGATTTGATAGCAGCCTTTACCTCCCTGAAGGGTGGTTCCAAAGGCTGGAGCTAGACTGTTCTCAGTGGTGGCAGGCGATAGAACAGGAAGCAATGATCTCAAGTTGCAGCAAGGGAGGTTTAAGTTGTATATTAGGAAAAACATTCTCACTAGGATGGTGGTGAAGCACTGGAATGGGTTACCTAGAGAGGTAGTGGAATCTCCATCCTTGGAGGTTTTTAAGGCCTGGCCTGACAAAGCCCTGGGTGGGATAATCTAATTGGGGATGGTCCTGCTTTGAGCAGGGGGTTGAACTACATGGCCTCTTGAGGTCCCTTCCAACCCTAATTTTCTATGATTTGGGGATCAAGGATCAGATCCCACTAGTAGCCTACTTGCCATGATCCCAGGCTCCCCCTGCACTGGCATGTTGAAAGCCAGGTGCCTGACAATCAGCTGATTGTCAGCTGGCTCCAGGACTGCACCTTGGCCATTTCAAGCCCTGGAGTCATCTCAATTCATCTGATCATAATCTGATCATCAGGTGGATCAAGACTATGCCATAGCTGGTGGGGACCACACTGGGGCTGGTTGGAGACCCAGCTGTGGTCCTAACCCTTGCTTCATATACATGCTGTATGATGGAAACTAAGCATAAAAATATTCCGTATTTTTTAAAATATTTAACCAGCTGTTCTTTTCTTTTTGTGGTACCATTAATTGCACAAATGTGTGGCCAAGTTACTATTTAAGATGTGAGTAACAAATTAATTACATCTTAAGTATAATGGCTACCTGGGACCTAGAACTTCCTTTCAAAAATATCACTATACAGTGCCAAGGAACAGAAAGTTTGGATATGAAATAATGTGAGAGGCAGGTATGAAGAAAGGCACATAAAACTAGCACTTCTTTGTAGGTAGGATTGCACACACATGGGGATAAATTTCAGAAGTTATACCTAAACACACATGTCTTTATGTACTCATATTCCATATGTGCCTCTGACTGAAATGTTCTGATTTAAGTTTAGCTTGCAGTTCACTTGAGGTTGACCCTGAAGACTAAAATTGAAATAGTCCTGTCTGACTGGAGGCTTTCAAGCTTCTTGTTGGATTTCAAAGGAGTTAACCATGGCAAAGATTTCATTTAGCATTTTAATTAAAACTTGGGAGAGAAGGCTCGATAAATATAACCACTGTAGCACCAATTCAAGCAGCTGATCACATATTAATAAGCTTTTTTTCAGAATTCCATTGTTATGCAGAATGAAGACAACCAGCAATATAGCATATTTTAATTGGTAGTATATAAGCATACTTTATTCCAATCAATTATTCTTGTATTAAAAGTTCTTTCATGCGTATCTCCGTTAAAGTATTATAAGACCTTGATTAGATGCACAAAGGAAAGCATAGCCTATACCAGGGGCACCCAACCTCCAACCTGTGGGCCATATGCAGCCCTCAGAGCTGTGGGATCTGGCCCATGGGGCTGCGCACAGATCGGGAAATTTGGTAGTGGGGGAGCAGTGGTTCGCCCTCCCTGGCTACCAAATTCCCACACCACTTCCCCCCACACAACCAGGTGGGGCCATTCTGCTCCCCTTTCTCCACATACAGCTGAACCAGTGCTGGGTCACAGCCCTTCACCCCATATGTCTGGGTTAGGGCTGGGCCAACCTACCTTCCTGCTGTGCAGCTGAATCAGGGCCAGGCTGCCCCCTCTGCATTGTTGGATGGACCCCACTGAGCCTGCCCCAGGCATTGGATCAGGGTCATAGGCTGCATCCAGCCCACAGGGGCACCAGGCACTGGCCATCCAGTCCGTCAGCAAAAAAGGCTGAGTGCTGCTGACCTATATAGATAGATGTGTGATAGTCAGTACATAGTATGCTGTGCATCCAGAATCTCTTTGCAACCCAGATGGTATGGTGGACTACATCAAGCTTCTGGAAGGTTAGTACCGCCTGTCATGAACTGATTGAGAACTGTCATCTGGCAGCATTGGAAGAATAATGTTAGGAGTTAAAAAGCTATTTGCTTTCTCCCTGTAGACTTGATGCTGGTACATTTGGGACAATGGGAGTTGGGCTAGGATTTGCCATAGCAGCTGCAATGGTGGCTAAAGATTGGACACCAAACAAACGAATTATCTGTGTAGAAGGAGACAGTGCTTTTGGATTTTCTGGCATGGAAGTGGAAACTATTTGCAGGTAAATGTTTTTACTCAAGTAAACCCCCTTCATTTAATGTCAGGATCTAAACAACAAACCCTCCTTGAAATCTGGGAAACAAACTGCACAGAGTGCTTTTAAAAGCACACAGAAAACAAATTTAAAAATACATAGGGAATGAATGTTGCTTCTTAGCTGACTCAACAATGGTAGGCATAAGAACATCTGTACAGTACATTTTTCCTTAAAATCAAGCAGTGTCCCTTGAACAGTTCATAGGAAGATGCAATTATTTTAGAATTCCTCCAAATATTTCTTTATTTACAACTGGTTGCAGGTATAAATTGCCCATCCTGATTATCATAGTAAACAACAATGGGATATACAGTGGCTTGGATGCAGATTCCTGGGAAGAGATTTTAAAGTTTGGAGAACCATCTGTGTGGTGAGTACCTCCAATCTTTGCACTCTTAATTTACTGGAAATAAGACAAGAAGGATTTGTATCCACTGCTAGTGTTTTCTGTTTCATATTAACAACTCAAGTGGAACAAGATTTGTGTTTCAGAACAGTAATTAAATGGGCAGTAGTCTACCTTTCAACTACCACCATCCTTACTTAAGCAGAGCTAAACCCAGCAGTTGCAACTGAACAACTGTTGTGCTAAATAAATGTAATGTACTATTGTACTTCATTTAAATTAACAGCCTTAGGAAGTGGAAGAAGCATAGCTACAGCAACTCAGAGCAAGCTAACAGTCTGAATATTTACTCAGTTTCTGAGGCTGGTTTTGCAGCCAGCATCAAGCTCTTGGTTGACATGTCTAAACTGTTATGGTATCTAAGCTAGCTAGATAATATATAGGCAGCTCAAGTGTGTCTGTACTAAACTGCAGTCATAGTCATTGCAATGTGGGCATACAATAAGTGTTAAAAGACCTGGAATATAGTTCCTCCTGTTCAGAAACAACTTAGCAAGCTGTAAAGATCATCTGAGTAATTTAAGGCCAGGTCTGGGCCACGCACTTACAGCAGAGCCTTATTGTCACTGCTGAGTGGAAGAGACAGCCAGCTCTACCATTGGAGCCGCACTGACTTGACAATACTGCCTCTGCTCTGGGAGCTAGCATAAGTGGAACAGCATGGCCTTTTTAGGGTCCCGCTGCTGGCCATGGTCTATATGAGGTCAAAAAGAATGAAAATTGAAATAGTAATTAATCATTCTGGCTATTCAATCTGCAGTGACCCAAAAATCTCTCTCTCATTTCAGTGCACTTCCCAATTTTCTCCTGCCTAATTCCCACTATGAGCAGGTCATGTCTGCATTTGGGGGCAAAGGATATTTTGTAAAAACACCAGAGGAATTACAAAATGCCCTTAAAGCAAGCCTGGAAGAAAAGCAAGTCCCTTCCCTTATCAATGTAATGATTGATCCACTATCTGCAAGAAAGCAGCAGGTATGTGTGTTTTATTCCTTTCTCCAGCTTTGACATACCAGTGACCTCTGAGCAGGTAGGCCCCTTGAATTATCATGAAGCCCTAATGAAGTCGCATGGAAAGAGGAGAGGGCAGGCAGAACAAAGGCATCTCTGCGTGTGTTGAAATTTGCAGTTTCGGGGCCTCAGCCTTCATATCTGTTTTCCTAATGAACCTTATTTATTGAGTATTCTCATGGAATCAACAATCTCTCCTTCATGCTCCTCTCGAACATGAAATTAAAAGATAGAGTTATATTTTCATGAGATGTCTTAAACTCCTGCCATTACATAATTTTGCATGCTAGTAAATACGGATTTGTATTATATTCCTTCTACTACTTGTCTTTTTTGCTTTCAGGATTTTCCATGGCTGACTCGTTCTAACATGTAATGGAAAATCCAGAGTGTGATGATTCGAAGATGTGCATCTGCTTAAGCCAAAGCCATGTAATTTTCCAGGCGTGAAACTCCCACACCTGTTTTTTTAAAGTTGAAAAATCCAAGTTTTTTCACTCTTAAAACAATCACTTGTTTTTACACTACTGCAATAGCAATAGTTATTGTATGCACAAGAAACACCTGAATGTATATCAGGCTTTTACCAGATTATGTAAAAGTAGTTAATAGTAAATCAATTATTTTTGCCTTTCATCAAAATGCAAGAGATCTAAACTTGCCAATTAAATTCTTAGGTGTTAGGAAGACAAATAAGGGAAAGAAAGTTTTTGGGTTTTTTTAATTGAAGGAATCCTTGGCAGTATGCAGTCATAATAGATTCGTTTCATTTCACTGGCCAACACGCTACTTACTGTACCACATTTTATATGCTCTTTTAGGGCTCAAGGTTTTTAATCTTTCAGTGTCTTCAGGATCAGGCTCAGTAAATATCCCCAGCTCACATTGAAGTAACTTTTAAAGATGTTGCCTCAGTCCTACTCCCAGAAACACTTCCACATTACCAGTTTTGTCAAAAAGGGACTGAGACCGTAATTGCTTATGCTGTATTCTTCTATCAAGGGACACGGTGTGTGATTTGGGAGCTTTATATCTTTGCATGTCTGTAATTTAAATCACTGAGGTTCACTAACAAAAAAGTCACCAAGGTTCATTAAATACAATACTGAATTTCTCTGAGTTGCCTTAATTTCTGCAGTGTGTTAACTGAAAGCTGGTGTAATGGCAACTTTTTTTTAATATTCCCCCATTATATTTATCTCTACCCGTCACCTGAAATTAGTGGTGCAGAAAGTCAGAAATAAACTTTTCTGAATAGATTTCAAAGCCTTAATAATTAAAAGTAAAAGTACTATTAAACTAAAGCTTAATGGTCAGCTTGATGGATGTAACCAGGCTCTCCCTAATATTCAAAGGTATAGTTGGTTGCTTGTGTAGTAAGCGTTCTGCAAGATAACGTATTTACTACATAAAGCCTTACAGCCTTGTCTTGCTACTTGGATTGAGTAACAAAACTCCCATTGACCATCATGGTAAAATATAGACGTTAAAGAATGTAAAACTAGTCCACTTAAGGAAGCATCTACTGGATTCATGCCTGTTGTTAATATTTGACATACTGACCATCCTGTGGCATAACCCTGAGGATGAAGCAGATGTGGAATAGCTTTCCCCCGACCACTTTTTAACATATGACAGTTTTGAGGGAGGGTTTTTTTTACGTTTGGTTTTGTTTTTCAGATAGTAAGGAGAGTTGCTGCTCACTGCAAGGGAAGGAAAGTTTAGAGTTTGGCTGCTAATAAGTCACTTTTATTGTTGGTTGTTTAACATTGAGATTTTAGTTATGCTTAAATAGTATTAAACACTGGCAAACAGTTGCTTAGGGTTATGGTTGGGACAGCAGAAGTCCAAGGTGAGGATTAAAGTTTGAGCTGAAGGACAAGCTTATGTCTTGGGCTATGATTGGGACTCAAAATTAGGCTTTATGGAAATGGTTCTGGGTGCAGCCTAGACTTAGACTTGGATGGACATACCCATAGAGGAAACTAGTTACCCCGTTTGAACCAATCCATTGGGATTTGTCTAGAAGTATCGCTAGACCGAAATTACTGGCTGGTTGAGTAATTGACATCAAGTCCATTAGAGACTGCATACCCAAAAAACAATAAATAAGGGAAGAAGCAGTCAACAAATCATTGGATCTTACTGTAGACATTGGGACTTTTTGTAAACAAGTCTAACTTTTATATATTCAGATAATGAAACAATACATGAGCATGTTAATAAGATTGTGCTATGAATAAAGAGCACACATAATTGACATAGACTGTCCGTCTAAGTTGTCTTGGAAATGAAGCATAATAGATTATTTTAAAGTAAATAGAACATTCTTATTCTGTATTTGAAAATCGATAAAAAAGTGATTGCCTTTTTAGTGGCCATATTTTGACTAGCATGTTACCATTTTGAGTCAGATGTTAAAAATCCCTTCAAGCTAGATTTGTAGATTCGAGTCTGATACCTTTTCTTGATACCTAGTCAAGCAATTCCTATGGGTCAAGGCAACAGGAAACTGAGTTTAACATGGTTTGCATTTGTATGGATAAATATCATTAGCTAACATCATGTTATGCACTGTGTTAAGGCATATGCTAGAAAAAACCTAAGGATGAAAAAATATTTATCATGGATCAGACACTGGATGTTTGGTGGAATCTCTTTTGAATATTAGTACCATGATGTGGGAGAAATTTAAAGGATGCTAACACTTAGATTTTGAAGAGGGGAGCTAAGCATGATTCCATAGGTGGAGAATGGCAGACAGATTTATGATTTTTGTATGAATGTTATATGTTTCTCAGTTTACTTTTTTCCATTTCATGCTGTCTGGCTGCTTTGTGTTAAATCAAAGAAACTGTCAGAGCAAGCAAGAAACAGTACGATGACACTAATAAGCTGTCTTAAGAGGTGATACCAACAGTCCTTGAAAAGGCAATGGGAAAGGGAAGGTTATCCATTGGGAATTGCCCACCTACTTTGCTTCAGTGAGGTTACTAAGTTTATTTTTCTCAATAGGCCAAAGCCTAGAATCAAGGGACATTAGACAATTTAAAAACCTCTGCCTAAGAGGATTGGGATGCATAAGCACCAGCTGCTTGGGAGAGAGACAACACTGTATGAAAAATCTACGATAGAGAAAGAAACTGCAGCAAGGTTCCTAGGCCAGAAGTAGGGATGACCAGGACTTTTGAAGAAACAATAAGACTCAGGCCCCTGGCACACATTAATTTAATGGCGCAGTAGGATCTGATCCCCAGTACCACCAATCATGCCTCCTGCCATGCCACACATGCATAACATAAGGTGCAGTTTTGGGTATCAGATTCCATTTGCACCATTACTGCTTACCATTGCAGATGGAGCCCAAGATCATAATCATGTTTGGCCAGGGCTAATAATTAGGTGGTTTTCAGCTCTGGTTCTATGCCTCAAACCAACCTCTATTTGGTCCTGGGGTGAACAATCAGCTGATAGTTGATTCTGGCCTGGACAGCCCTGGGTGCTGTTCACCCAGGGCTGTTTGGGCTGACAATTAGGTGATTGTTGGACACAGCCGACAGTCTCAAGATTCAAACCCAACACTGCCTGGGTGGGGCTGATAATCAGCTGATTGTCAAAACCCTGCACCAAGCAGCTCTGACCAGGCTGCTGGGTACAAGGGATCAGAAGCCCTTGACAGGGAGAGCCAAAGGGCTTCCCCCCGAAGACTTTAAACCTCATGCTTGGAAGCTTTGGCTTGGCTTCTGGACACAGGGTTTAAAGTCCATGTGGAAACCTCCAACTGAAGCTATTCCAGACCCTGATGCAGTGTTGGTACTGTGGCCAAAAATGAGCTGATTGTCAGCCATGGCTACACTTTAAATTTAAGGCGCTATACAAACCAGCCATAAAAATGTTCTACGTTGTATGTGGAACATTTTATGACTTGTTTCCCATTTTATGGTGCCTTCAATCGGGGACACATGTAGCAACCGTTTATGCTGCAATTAACGCATTCATTGCTGCTTAAATGTAACATGTAGAGTGGGTCTTGGATAAGAGACATGTTTGAGGGTCTTCTCTCTGACTGCTTCTTTTGTACCTGTTGGTAACTTCAGTACAATTGTTTTGATAAATTTGGAATCTTTTTTAATCAGCTGCTGATCCAGACTTCCAAGAAAAGTTTTCACTCAGGAGACAAATACCATTGGACCATCTCTACGTATATAGGTAGGGAATGGAGAGGCTAGCCGGAGATCCAGTCCAACACTGCTTGGGCTAGGGTATTTGATCCTTTGGCTGAGGGGAAGGAAATCAAATCTGTGAGCTGAGGCATGCACTGAAAAGTGACTAGAAAGGAATTAAAACTCATCATATCCTCATTTGCCAAAGTAGCCTGTAGCCTATGAAACTTTGTGCTTCTTTTAATGTGTTAGTCTGTAACATTGGATTTCCAGGATTGTTAAACATCCCTCAGAAAATGCAAGCTCTTAGCACTTACTAATTTTTTGACTATGGAAAAATAATGGAATAATTCATCTGCTCCAAAGAACTCAAAGACCACAAGGAGTCAGAATGTTTTTGATGCTGTGGATTTCCATCTGAAATCTCTGGATTTATATGAAGCATGTAATTGTTTGAACATGAAACAATGCTAATAATATATGACCCACTATCACACTCTTTAAAAAAAAAAAAAATCTTAAAGCTGCAGCACCCTGATTGATAATCACATGTCTATAAGGTGCCTGCTGATAATCACTTGTCCTGCTATCTCCCTATCTTCAGATTACCATGACTAACTACCTCTCTTATCTTGTCTGTAACCATGATTCTAGACATGAATGGCCCAAATAAAATTGTGGGATAACTGGAAATGGGGCAAATAAAGAATAGTATCAACTGATTCAAAAGGGTTTGAACTGCCAAGGTCCAGAAGTTGCTCAGGCTAGGGAATATCTTAATGAATAGGAAAATCAGTTCGTACTCAGGATTTGGAGGAAAACAAGAAAATGACCACTCCAAGGAAGAGTAGAAATGTGTTTCTGCTCTTTCTGAGTTTGCATTTGGCTCTGGGTTTAAGCTTTGTTAAAGAGTACAGAATATCCTTGCAAGCTTCCAAGTGCTCTGACCTGTGTGCCTAATTGTGTTTGTTTTTTGTCAGACCACTATGGCCCACACCTTGCAGGATTTAGGACAGCGTGAGTATGTGTGCATTTGGGATCCTATAGGTATGCACAGTCAGCTGGTTGTATAAAGTTTCAGTGCGCATTTGGCAGACTTTCTATTTAATCAATCAGTTTTACCTTTCATTTGCAAAGGATTCTGCAGGCATAATGGTTGCAGTATATAATATATTGTTGACTTGCAAGTCAGAGCCCTTACAAGTTTGTTTCCATCTGGATGAAGAATTGTAGGGAAAATTAAGCCATTATACTTAGTCAAATAACACTGAGTTACACGTAATCCTGTACAGAGTGGAAACAGTGTACCATTACAAAACTTACCATTACAAAACTGTACAAGCCATTTTAAGCTAATCAAGCAAAGGAACTGATTCCTGGAACTGAGCACCCACCCAATTGACTATTCCTGTAACCCATGGCAATACAGCCATTGAGTCAATCAAGTCAAGGGTGGACTCCCAAAACTGCATGTATGGGGAGGCAGAGACCCCTGTGACTGACAGCTGTCATGCACTACTCAAGACCCACATGGGACAGCGACCTCCAAATTGAGCAGCCAAGATGATTCTGGGGGATTACACAAATCTGCCAGAAAGGGATAAAAGGCAGTGAAGCGTGACCCCCAGTGGCACCCTCTCATCCAGCACCTGACCTACTGAGACAGAAGGACAAGCAGGCAACCCCCTTCTGAAGAAGACATTGCCTTGAAGGGAGATGACCATCGGC